GATGTATAAAACACACACATACACACACACACACACACACATATATATATATATATATATATATTTTGGCAAAGACCCAACAGTTTATATTAAAAACAATATATGCACTTCATGTGAAAACTTTTTTTCTAAAAAAAATAAAAATTAATTATGGTTGAACCACCAGCAGGAGTATTCGATGCATATAGCTAGCCAAAGTTTGAAAATTAAATGAAACATGCTCACATAAGTCGCCAATTTCATGCTGCCATTTGAATATCTAACAAAAATTCTTCTTAATGTGACCGCTTTTTGATACATCCCTAAATATAAACTGAGTTACTTTTGAATGAAACCTCAGTAGAAAATGGAATCCCACTGAGATGAAAGAGAGAGAGAGAGAAAAAAGAGTTCAGATTATGTAAACTATTATAGTGAAAGAGGCATAATTTCAGACAAAGTAAATGACAAAGAAGTTTGGTTCCAGACAATATTTGTCTTATAAAATAATATATTATAAAAATCATAGTATCAAGAATAGGCACAATCAATCCATAGTACTTATAAAAATAAAAAGCAAAGGAGAGTGCACTTAAGTCAAGATATTGCGTAATTTTTGGTCCTATGTGCGATACAATTCCTCGTGAGGAGAATAAGAACAAGGATTAATTCTAGGAGTTATAACTTTATGACAAACATTAAAGAAAAAATAATAATATATTCCAAAGCTGAAAAAAGATATATAAAAGTATATAGAGGTATAGTTGCTTTCTCTTATCTTAACCTAGCTTTTTTGAAATTGTGTGACCTTAATAACTTTTTCTGGTACCCCATTAGCCAATAACATGTCAGGTGAAAAATGGGAATTAGATTTTTTGTCACTTTAGCTAGTGTTACATTTTGTGTTTTGTGTTTTATATACCAACGATATATATATGATAATGTTATATCAATTCATTCCACAAAATAGCACAAAAAAAACTTTTATTTATCAATTCATTAGACAATAAAATAGATTTCATGCTCCATTTTGTGTTTCATAATGATGTTATATTTATACACACATTATTTATCCTACAAAAGATTATTACATAAATTCAAATAAAGGAAAAAAAAACAAAGAAAAGAAATGTAGCATACTAGCATAACAAAAGCAAAAGCTGCCACACAAACCTTTTATATATACTCTTTAACAAACAAAAAAAAAAAAGAAGTTATTATAAATATGAAAATGTGGACGTGAGCTTGCAGGTCTGACTTTGAGGTACCATGCAAAAAAGGAAATTTTTTATAAAGTAAAATACAGTTCATTAGCATTAGTTAATCAATTTCATGAGATCATTTCAATTCACGTATGTATATGAATCGTCACACGCACGCACGCACACACACACGTGTGTTTTCTTATTTTATTTTATTTTTTTACATTAATAAAATTACCTCGAAGAATTGCTCCACAATGTAGTATTGTTGGTGGATGCATAGTTCTCAGGTTCATGTGGCAGAGGCCCAACTGAATTTGGGCCTCTTTCGTCCAAGAATTGCCGGAGCCCGGCCCGTCCGCTGCCACTGCCGATAGTTGACAGGTCATCCTCACCGGACCCATCTGAATGCCCTTCAAGAAATCATGAAAATTAATTAATAAGAAATAAAGAAAGAAATTCAACACATTTATAATTTTTCGCCTCATAAAAACTGAATGTTT